TAACGCCTCTACACAAAGTCTTAAACTACTGTATACACAACAAATATTATTTATTACAACTAATATTAAATTATTTTAATTATAACTTTTAATCTCATTTGCTTAAAATTTAGGAACCGAAAGGTATTAATAGACCGGTTTTATTAGGAACATGAACGAATTGACCAGACTGCTCCATCCTTAATAATTTGACTAATTACTTTTTGAGTATATCGATATTATATAACACAAATATTGTACGTATACGTGCAAGGGTGTAGTATTTTAAATAATAAATGTTCTTTATATTTACAATTTAAATACGTACGTATTAACACAAATATATAAAATGAATTTAACATATATATATAGTAAATATTTATAAACCTTATTTAAATAATATTTAATCATAAAATATGTACGTATTCATGGCTTATTTTAAATGATTCGATTAATAAATGCCCAATATACTCACATACCAAATACGTATATACCTGATACGTAAAATGAAATTAAATACGTACGTACGTAGCGAACTTTAATATATATATAGCTTAAAATACTTGGATAATTTTATATTCATCCACTGATTAAAGTAAAATTTTATAGTGAATATGCACGAACTTGAATAGTTTTTTACTTTAAATAATTAGATTAATAAATATTTGTTATATCACAATCCATATTACTGTATTAATAAACTTTAATGGTAAAGTTCATGAACGTGAATCGCTTATTTTAAATAATCCGATTACGTAGTAAATGCCTCGTATTAATATTAATAAATGTTTTTTTTACACTCATAATTAACATGAATAGAATAAAATATTTTAAACTTCTAATATAAAGTTCAAATGTACTCCTCTTCATTTTCATATATATAGATAGTTTTTCATACATTCTAAGAGAGCATCCCATAGATTCTTATTATTTTGCTTTCTCAAACTAAACTCAAAAAGGTATTAGCGATTTCAAAACAGTATGATTCCCATGTGGAATCGAAGCTTAATCCCATTCCAGGTGCCTTCGATCGTATTTGTGTGGACACCTATATTTAAAGAATACGTTTAAGTATACAGTGTAATTAATTACAAAAAGGTCCACTATAAATTTGTCTATTTTATGGCTTACATAAGAAATCCAATATTCCTAGTGACGCACCTCATTAGACATATGAAATTACATTTAATTATCCGTCAATACGTATGATTATTCTTTGTCCTCTTCAACAATAGAATTCATGTTAAGAATTCTTTACCTGTTTCTAAAGATCTTTGGCGTATATCTTAAAGTAGCCATAGGTGCAGGGTAATATTCCGATCTGTAAATAAATCCGATATAAATAAAATGCAAAAAAATCTGCTAACCTCGTTAGTACAATATATTTGTTACCGAAACCCCGGCGGCATGTGAGACAAAAATCACGGAACTATTCGAATTAAGATTCTTTATAGTTAAAAAAATGCATCAAGATTTCGTAAATAAATGCGCAGTAAGTCACCTGCTGCGATTTAATCTAATTTGACAGGTAGTACTGAGAAAGTAATAAGGTGGCTTAGAAAAAATGCATATTGGGCTTTTTATCAGAAGCCTTTTTTGTAATACACAGCCGATTCCTTCATTAAAGGCTCGGTTCGACCCGGTTTTATAGAAGCCAGTTTGAAGCTTGGTAATATATATATATATACACCGAGAATAATTTATATAGATTTGTCGTCATAGAAATTTCGGGACGAACATAATGAGCAACAATGATAATGACTTTCGTTATCTAGACAGTGGACTGGAGGCTACTTCTATTCAAAGTATCTATTTAGAAGAGGAAGATCTTAATGTATGTCAAGATCAAGACACGAAAATTCTGATATCTTTTCAATTTATGGAGATATATATTTAATCAAACTATAATGGACATTTCAGCTTCTTTTAGCAGGCTATAAATTTAACCGATTCCGTCTTTATACATATTATATTCTATGCGTTTTGACTGGGGGAACTTTTTATCTTATTAATCGATGGATACCGAAATTATGGGTTTGGTTAGTAGGCAACGTCTGCGAGCTAGGGAAAGCAGAATGGGTGGTTGTGAAGGTTGGTTCAAGTTATCACCTTCAATATTACTTAGTGATATGATAATAATCTCCAACTATCATCCTTCTACAGAATCAATGGGGTGACACATCAATCGAATATATAATCCGTAAATATTACGGCGGAACCATATCTTCAATCTTCTCAGTTGATAATTCTGAAGACAATAACGTTTCTGGGCTTGCCTCTCATCGATCAGATGAAATTTTGCATAAATTGCACTTTTTTGATCATCGTTATATTCGATTCATTTACAGCCCTATATCAGGAAAATTCGTACAGAATAAGTAGGCACATAATATGTTCTTCATTTTTAATCTATTTTTCTTCCTATTTTCTGATTGATGTTTAAATTCCAGTTTTTGGAAAGACCCTGCATGGGTATCCGTTGACGTGTTGAAAAAGGGAATTGATCGTGAGACTCATAACGAACGTGAAATTATCTTTGGTCAGAATTTGATTGATATTAAAGAAAAATCTACCATTCAACTTTTAATTGACGAGGTTTGGCATACATTATTATCATTTGAGATCAGATATACTGTCTTAACATATTTACATGAATCTTTAACATATTTCAAGGCCATGCATCCGTTTTATATCTTTCAAATCTTTTCAATAGTGCTTTGGTGTCTTGACGAGTATTACTACTATGCTACATGTATCTTTATAATATCTGTTGTTAGTATTATTACTACGCTGATAAAAATAAAGCAGGTTAATAATTTATTACATATTTTATATTTGAAATTATTGTGAATTGTATGTTAATGATCAATAATCATAATTCAGACTATGAACAAACTTCGTGAAATGTCAAAAATTGTTTGTAATGTACGGACATTTCGTGGTAATCTCTGTAAGTCTGTGTAGTGTTTTTATGGAGTTTCAATGCAGTTTTGGCTGATGGCATTAGATGTCCTATATGACCTTTATGACCATCAATAGGTCAATTGGTCATAAGAGTATTGTATGACTTTATGACTTCTAGTATCTTCTAGTATAGTAGTATAGTAAAAATTATCATAAAAAATTTGGTTTACTGGTATTTAATATGAACAATATTATATATGGTCAAAGATCATATGATTATATGACTAAGGTCATATTAAAAAAACAAAAAAATGTCATGACTTAGGTCATTGACTAACGCCGCTTTAATGAGGTTTAGAAATATGCAAGTTTTTTTCTTATAAAAATATTTTGGACCTTTTTTCACAACAGGGAGATCTGTTTCATCAGAAGATTTAGTACCTGGAGACGTATTTGAAATATCTGATAGAAATTTACACATTTTCCCATGTGATGCTGTTTTATTATCAGGCGATTGCATTGTAAATGAAAGCATGCTCACTGGTAGGAAATAGTTGTTTTATTAAATTATTAGAGTCGGATTATATAAATTCTAAATAACAGACTCTTTATTTAGGAGAATCTATCCCTGTATCCAAATTGCCTATTGATGATACATCTTTGAATATATTGGACTTAACTGCTACCAATGTTCGACCGGAAATAGCCAAACATTTTTTGTTTTCCGGAACGAAAATTGTACGGGTGCGTCGGGTCAAGAATGGTACTATACCATTTAGTGCAGATGCCGGCAACATATCTGATGATGACGGAGCTTTAGCAATGGTCGTACGTACAGGCAAGTTATCTTTACATAAAGAATTGGATCAGTATCTAAAATAAAATTTTATTTATTTATTTTTAACTTTTGTTGTAGGATTTAATACAACCAAAGGTTCTTTGATTAGAGCGATGCTGTTTCCGAAACCACATAAATTCAAATTTTATCGCGATTCATTTTGTTTCATCGGTGTTTTGGCTATAATCGGTAAGATACAAATTATTTTTATACATTATATGTTTGGCTTCGGTTTGTTCTTAACAAAATACCTTTATTGACATTTTTTTTTTTTTTTTAGCTTTAATTGGCTTTTTGATTAGTACATATAATTTTATTAGATTGGGAGTAAATGGTGTTATAATAATTTTGCGTGCGTTGGATTTAATTACTATCGTGGTTCCTCCTGCATTACCTGCAACAATGACCATTGGTACAAATTTCGCCATTGGAAGATTAAAAAAAGCAGGGATATTTTGTATTAGCCCACCAAGGTGATTAATTTCTTCGGTAATGCATTTATACAATATATTTAATAATTTATAAGCTCGTATATTTTCACACATATTATTATTTGTATTATTATAGAGTTAATGTTGGCGGAAAGCTAAATGTCATGTGTTTTGATAAAACGGGCACGCTTACAGAAGACGGATTAGATGTTTTAGGTGTTCGTTTTATTAATCAAACATCACACAGGTTAGAATCTCTTAATTATTTTATTTCTTTTCAAAATAATAAAAATTTAATTTTTTCGAATAGGTTCACGGAGCTTCATACTACGGTTGACACATTCTTTAAAAGTGATGGTTATAAGACTGATAATTCTATTCCACCAATTTTGTGTGCCATGACTACGTGCCATTCTCTTAAATTAGTCAATGGTGAACTAATTGGTGATCCACTTGATTTAAAAATGTTTGATTTTACTAAATGGATACTTGAAGAAAGTGGACAAGGTGTTTCATCCAGTACTGGATCAGCACCTTCCGGGAGACCAGGTAGCCCTACGAATGGAACAGGTAGCATAGTGCCAACAGTGGTTAGACCACCTAATAGTAAACAATTTGATTTAAATGAAGCTCTTAATGTAGGGGGAAAAAACGGGGATGGAAAAGTAAATATTTGTCTATAATTGATATGTTGTATTTGATTAATAATGACATTAATTATTAATAAATTAATTCTGTTTATAGCCTACACCATTTATCGAGTTAGGAATAATTCGAACTTTTGAATTTGTTTCATCATTACGACGTATGAGCGTGCTCGTAAAACGTTTGCGAAATCAAACAATTGAAGTTTACGTTAAAGGAGCACCAGAAGTGATGCGCGATATTTGTAGAACCGATTCCTGTGAGTCATTTATTTTGATATATATTAATGCACAGAGAAAGTTTTGATTTAATAAATTAATTATTATACTGTCATCCAGTTCCGGAAGATTATGATGAATTATTACATTATTACACACATAATGGATTTCGTGTAATTGCATGCGCTTCTAGGAGTTTCACTGATCTCAGTTGGATGAAGGCTCAGAAGATCAAAAGGTTAGATTGGTTTATCGATCATTAGTTGTAAATGCTAGTAATTTATATCTTTTTTTTGTTTTGTTTTTTATGTATATTATAAAGAGAACAGGTAGAACAAGATTTAGAGTTTATAGGCATTATAGTATTCGAGAATAAATTGAAGCCTGGTACAGCCTCAGTTGTTGAAACTCTCAAAAGTGCCAAAATACGACAGATAATGTGTACTGGTGAATATTACTTTCATCATTTATCAATTGGTAATTTTTGGTAGCTAGTCTGATAGATAATATTTTATTCATAAATCATTCAGGTGATAATGTCTTGACCGCAATAAGTGTTTCTCGTGAATGTGGATTGGTCAATAAGGCATCAAAAGTTTATGTACCAAGATTCGTTCAAGGATCGTCTTTAAGCTCACGAGCATCTATTTTATGGGAGAGTTTGGATAACCCAAAAGATTCACTGGATTCAACGACATTAAAAGTATTTATTTTTACTGAATAAAAATTAAATTTATAAATTAATTTTACAGTAATTGAATTATGGTTTTTTATTATAATAGCAAATTATTTCTATATCACAGGATTTTCCTAGCGAATATCCGTTTATTAGTCCTTATGAATACGACCTTGCAGTGACTGGCGATGTTTTCCGTTGGATCATAGATTATGGAGATGAAATGACATTCACTCGGGTATTTATTCTATATAATTATGAATAGCCAGCATAAATAAAATATTATTTTTGAGCATATTTCAAATGTTCTGTAGATGCTTGTCAAAGGCCAAATTTTTGCACGTATGTCGCCAGACGAGAAACACGAATTAGTAGAAAAACTACAAGAAATAGGATATTGTGTTGGCTTTTGTGGTGATGGTGCCAACGATTGTGGAGCACTTAAAGCGGCAGATGTTGGGCTGTCACTTTCTGATGCAGAAGCTTCTGTTGCAGCTCCATTTACGAGTCGTAATATGGATATCGGCTGTGTTATCGAAGTTATTAAGTATGATGACTTATTAAAATTCTTTTTTTTTTTTTTTTTTGTGAATCTTTTTCTTAAAAGACATTCTTTTCTTGTTCTATAATTAAATAGTTCATTAGAGAAGGTCGAGCAGCCTTAGTCACGAGTTTCAGTTGCTTTAAATATATGGCACTATATAGCATGATTCAATTCACATCAGTTAGTACATTGTATTATTATGGGTCTAATTTGGGGAACCTTCAGGTGAGAACTGATTTATACAAATCTATAAGGACGATAGATAAATTATTCCTTACTTACATTATTTTGGTTATTAGTTTCTTTATATAGATTTATTCTTAATATTGCCTATCGCAATTCTAAGTAAGGACCATTTACACTTTTTTTTTGGTTTTATCTATAAATTTTTATCTGTAAATTTTTTTTTTTGCTGATTGAATAATTGTTTATCTAGTGGGACGCACGGAACCATTCCCACGCATACATCCCAAACGTCCAACCGCAAGTTTGATCTCCAAAAAGGTGCTAACGTCAGTGATTGGACAAATTATAATCCAATCAGGAATTCAATTCTTAGTTCTCATAATTATACACAATCAGCCATGGTAAATAATATATGTATATATCAAATAGCATTTCTTTTCTCGAGATAATTTATTATACACTTCAAACTTATTACAGGTATCGAAAACCAGTCTTTAACCCGGATGAAACGTATATAAGAAATTTTGACAATTCGATATTATTTTTATTATCATGTTTTCAATACATTATTATCGCAGCGGTGTTTAGTGTTGGACCACCATATAGAAAACCGATGACTACGAATGGTACAGTAAATTACATACTTGAATATTTGATACATGAATTTCGAAAATTCATATAATTTAATTACTTTTATGCAATAGTTCCATTTATAATCACGACGACTTTTTTTACTTTCATTACGGCAGCAATCCTTATATCACCATCAAAATTTATTATAAACCTATTAGAACTAGAGGACATTGACAATATCTTTAGATGGTATCTACTAGCTATTGTAATAGCAGACTTTTTTATTTCGATATTTATGGAAAAATACGTCTTTGATGTTATTTCACGATGGATAGGTATTGCAATAGCTAAGTCGGACAAAAAAATGTATAAAAAAATCTTAGAAGAAATGGACACTAGAGACCCTGTAACTTATGTTTAAAATTTCTACCAATATAAATGAAAACGTTCAATTTGATTTTAATAGTCAACTTTGTATATAATGGACTCTTAAAACAAGATGTTAAATGATTTGAAGTGATCTAAATGACAAATGATAATCCAAGTTAACTGATGAACAGAGATAGCTATATCGACTATTATCGGCATATAGAAGTTAATAAATATTTGTATGCAGAAGTTAGTTTCATATATATAACTTGAATAATCATATTTTTTTTTCTCGTATTTTTTTGCGCACGTGTAATAAACTGTTCTCTAATTTCCTTTTTTGGGGGTCGGCTAAAGCGGAGTTAATTCAATATTTTGGATGATCATTTTTGATCCGGGTGCGTTTAGTATAAACTTGGAACTGATCTACATGCTGCATAAATTGTATTCTTGATATTTATATAAACGAGTAACCATTACTGCATCAAAAAAGTAACCCTAACTGCATCAAAAAAGTAATTCTAACGCACCTTGCTTTAGCCATCCCCTAAAACAGGTATATAAAGAATCACTTCGCGTATTGATTTTTACACACCTTACACTTTTTACTCTACATTTTTTATCCTCACTTTCGACGATTTTAATTTTTACACATCTTACACTCTTTATCTTATACTCTTAACGATTTTATTTTTTACTTTTCGTTTATTATATGGGAGGTCAAAAGTAGAAACCACCCAAATTGTTTTTAATAAGTTTTTTTAATTAAAATATCTTGACAACTATTAAACCAAACTTAATAAAATTTTTTTTATTTTAATTCTATAACTATATAGAATTAAAATAAAGAAAATTTTGTCAAGTTTGGTTTAATAGTTGTTGAGATATTTTAATTTAAAGTCTGAAAAAAATTTACTTAGAAACAATTTGGGTGGTTTCTACTTTTGACCGCCCATATATACATGTATGAGTAGAACTTATAGATAGAAAATATCGAACAAACGTAAATACATATAAGGTAAACATTTTTACTGAATAGTCGCTGGATTGATATGTATTACGTTTTCGACCTGAGCCGTAGTTGAAAAATTTGAAAGCACATCGGGCCACAACTTATAGTTGTCAACGTTCGTTTTTTTTCATATGGCTTGGAGGGTAACCAACTGGTAAAACAGTTGCGACGGAAAAGGTGGTGCATAAAATCGGCAACTGGAAGCTCTTCGCGGCCACATTTATTTGTGAACGTCCTTGCATGATTGTTCAAATGAGCAATTATTCATTTTATTTTTTTTATTTTTTTATTCTAGAAATATATTTTAGGTTACTTTACGAACAAGACCGATGAATATAAATCAAACGCTGTTATACTTTATAAGAAATTATTATGAATAATTAGTATTTAGATTGAGTTTTTAATTATTATAATTGACTAGTTTTTGTATACTGTAATTGAAATATAATTTTAAAACGATTTTTTATTATTGTAAATTCGAATTAGTTAAAAGTTGATTGTTTAATAAAATAATTTGTGATTAAATTATAAATATATCTGATATAGAATGTTAATAGAGTTTAATTTCTATTTTGCATATCCGTTAATTTATTTTATACGGTTAAACAGTTAAAGATTTTATAAACGATTAATTAACCGTTAAATTATTTGTTTAATCGTTTTTCGATTAAAAAAAAAAAAAAAAAAACAAAGTTGGTATATACGCATGTACGTACGTACGTACGTACGAACCTAATAGAGAACCAATCATAACTTTGCATCGATTTAACACGTTAGGAGAATCGGCTTCAGGTTTTTTAATCTCTTTGTAATAAAGATGACATATGCCCGACATGTATCAACATAACTATCAAGAATGGACAAGTAGAAATGAGGTTGCAGAGGATTTCAGCTTAGAACTTTAAATATAAGGATGTAATAGATTGGACTCCGTTTATTATTAAAGAAATTGGCAAAGGAAGATTTGGCATATATATTTAGCAACCAGTTAGATGGATACAAAAAGTTGTTGATAGTGATTCTAATTATGTAAAAACGTGTGAACCATCTAGCATCATTGTATTCAAGACATGGCCGATTATAAGAAAAACAATTTTAATTTTTTAAGGAAAGTTAATTTTCTACAAATGTTTAAAGATATTTCATATCAGGTAAATATATTCATGCTGATTTCATAGTGTTAACATTTTACACTAACGAAAATACACAACTTTATATCGCTAATATAGGATTGTATAGAAAGTAAAATATATGCGTTTCAGAAGGTGATATTTTTGGTATCCGCCCTATATTACTTCTGAAGGTTTATCATGCAAATATATTCATGCTGATTTCATAGTGTTAACATTTTGCACTAACGAAAATAATTTTGCAAACCGCAATAATCGATTGAAAAATTATTTATTTACTTAATCGATTGATTTGTAACACTAGATTTTGGACATAGAATAACTTCTCGTGATTGGTTGATCGCGTAAGGTTGAGGTGTTCTCAAG